GATGCTATATAAGATATTTTTATATTTCCTACGTTTTAATTACAGTTTATTTGGATTCAGTGGCCCCTACAACTGGGGGGAGGGGGATCCGAAGTAACTGCTTCTAAAAATTTGAGTGGGATTACCTTTTCGATTTAATTCTTATATTGTTTTACAAAACCCATCAATAACCAAGTGATTTCTGTTTCTGATTTATGATATCGGACTCGACCTCTTGATTCTGTTAAGATACTTATTAAATTAAATAATAACTGAGGAGGGGGTCTTATTATTACATTTAAATTTTTCGGCTTTCCCTAATTTAACCATTTTTACTACCTCATGTACCTCCGAAAGGAAAAAGACTTCGTAGTACCCTGACAGATCCATTTCTTAATAATTTAACAATTTTATCAATGGGAAGAAAAAAATTTATTTAAACATCATATGATTGATGACTCATCAACTGCGAAAACGGGATGGAGTAAAGGAAATGGAAGAGGAAGAACGGGATGTAGTAACGGAAATGGAAGAGGAAGAACCGGATGTAGTAACGGAAATGGAAGAGGAAGAAATTGTAGAGTCGGAAATAGTTGAAAATTTGGAAAGGGAGAAAACGGTAAAACAGAAGCCTGATGAAAATTGGGGTACACGGAATATGTTTTCATGGCCTCGAGAACTGTAAACAACAATGAGGCAGAAATCACGACCATCTAGGAAGCCTACGCATCGCCTGATTGAGGGGTTTTAAGATGTTGAGTGCGGAAAAAAGCGATGAGTGCTATATAGGATATTAATATATTTCATACAATTTGTATTATTTTAATTATCACGATTAATATATACGATTGACGTTTATAAAGTGATTCGCGATGACGTGTTTTAGGGTTTATTTAAAACCGTTCTTAAATACCCGCACTTGGCACAACAGTACTGTGCAGAGTTGTTAAAAGATACTTTTTAAATGGATCTAGATACAGATACATCGTCTAAAATAATATCTAGATACAGATATTTTAATCAAAAATCTATCTAGATACAGATACCACATTTTTATATCTAGATACAGGATCTAGATACTTGTACTAAGATCCTTTAACAACTCTGGTACTGTGTATTACTGCTGAGAAGAAATTGAACGCCTTATCCCTCATTAACATACTTAGATTTGACAACCAATTCACTGATAATATAATCAAATATTTATGTTCAATTTTAACAGATTTAAAATTTCACATTATAAATTTATAATAACCTTTATTGTATATAATATTATTTTTTTATTCTTAAATTTATATTTGAATATGTGTGTTAGAAATTGTTGATATTTTATAGCCACGAAGTCCTAATAAATTTCCGAAACATTAGATCTTCTTTAAATAACTAGTAGAAAAATTGAAATAAAAATTTAATTATCACCCCCACCCCCCACTCCCTTCCGCCAGCAAATATCTGTGTATGTGTCTTTTCTTAAATGTATATAATACCTTTAAATTGACAGAATTTGAAATAATCAACCTATCCTTTATATTCTTGATAAACAAGGTTATCATATACATTCATTTTGTGAGGGCATTTTAAGAACTTATCAATTCTAGCTGTAATATGGTGCTTCATTAAGTTTACATTGCACGGACTAATTTTAAAGTAGTATCCCTCAACTTTTTCGAGATGTGTGGCCATCAAAGAACCCTTAGACTTAGTACAACGAGTATTTTCTTCGTGGATTGCTCCAAATGTGTGTCCAACTTCGTGGGCTAAGGTATTGAGAATAGAACCCCTTACCATAATTTGGTTGGTAGAAGGTAGCATATAATTAACATATGCGATATTCCTATTCGCCGTTATAGGCCCTACATCCTTGCGATCTATGAATATTCCACTTGAAGCCGATCCCTGGAAAGCCCGTCCGGCAACTCCTTCCAAGTATTGATACGTAAAACTAACACCTAAGCATCTATCATCTCCTAAACTAATCGATGATATTAGATTCATGTATTTGCCAGCTAATGGGAACTTACTCTGGGTGACGTGATTATTACTCCGCATGATTACCGTTATTTTAGCTATTTGGAATCCAAAATGATTAGGTTTCCCAGCATCTGCAAAATCAAGCATTCGATAGAGAAAATCTAGGGATCCGTACAGGATTATGACTTCGTGTATGGCTTGCTTGATATTGTAATTAACAACGTTTTCCATAAAGTAAGAATCCAGCAATACATTAACGCTGCACACCTTTTTAATGGTAGCAATCTCAGCTGGTATATCCATCATTTGCCTCAATTGCTTAAATAAACTTTGTTTACCGTCTGCAATTGGAACTTCTATCGAATCATTAATATGTGATAATGGTTCTATATCATCTTCCGTGTAATATAAGTATTTCCTCTCCTCTACCCATCTTCTCATTCCCCATTTATCTGGAAGAGCACTTTTCCCCGCAAAATCTACGGTTGCATTAAATGATTGCCATTCTTGAATCTGTTCCACAAAATGTAATTTACTATTCACATATATTATTCCGTCAAAGAAGGTCTCCATATTTGTAAAATCTATTCCGCCAAAAACGAATGATTTTTCCTCTCCCTCGATACTAGCAACATAGTAACGGTATTTAATGTATCGCTCTATATACGAATTTGGGAATTGATAAGCGTCAGACTTCATTTCTACTGTCGTATTCTCTTCCGCCACGTCAGCTAAAGTAATCGATACAAGTGTGAATGGTATATTACTAGGAGTCAATTTAGTTATTTTTCCATGAGATGAGCTATGTTTTGGGCATGCGTCTTCAGTTGACCGGATGTATTTAATTAGTAATATTATACAGTACAAGATTAATTTTATCATTACCCGTTAGTTAATAAACTCGATTAGGAAATATTAATATATATACCATAATACAAAATGCGTTGTTCTATTATATAGTTCCAAAAATAAAATTAATTCCAATTTTTTTGGTTTGATTATCTATAACAAAATAATGTTTAAAAAAAATGAACTGATCCATTGCTATGATATAATATGAATATTTAAAAAAGAATGCCTTTATCAATGAAATCGGCTTTAAAAAATGTAAATATTTTAAATAGTATTTAATAATATATAATATGAATTTATATAAATATTGCTTGCTTAAAAAATATAAAAATATACGTAACAAAAAGATAGCACCCTAAATAGTAAATACGGTCCTTGACAAAATATAATAATTATACATAATATAGGAAGAAGAAGAAATAAAAATACTATATATAAGATTTCAAAATTTATTGATATTATCATTTTATAATGAACAGAGTGAATGGAATAATTTATCTAATATTTACATTTGATTACATTAATTTTGCATTTTAAAATATTTAATGATAAACGAATATTTTTAAAAATCTAATTGAAAACAGATCAATATGTGATGACGACGAAATGACAAAGAATCTTATATTAATCGTCGAGACTCATAATGACATCATTAATGATTTGTCCCAAAATTTCGCCACCCTTTTTACCGGACTTCACAACGCTTTCGTGGTCAATAGATACCAAATTTTTCGTCACTTTATATTCGTTGGTATTCTTTGATGAACCATCATCTATTTCATGTGTTCAAAATATAATAGAATATATATCAATTCAAAGGGTTTATAAATAAAATTTTAATCATAGATATATAATTTGGAATTGCCCCCCCCCTCAAATCCTACGCTTCAGCCTCATTGTGGTAAGGGATTGGCAACGTCTTTTGGCGGCTAATGGAGTTCTAAAAGGTTCCCTGTGGTCTGGGTCTCGAATACGATCAACGTCTCCTCGACGTGGTGTAAAAAACCACCTAAAGGGTTTGATGTCAGGAAGGACATTCGATTGTTAAAAACCTTAAAATTTCCTAATGATTAAATCAGAGTGAAAACTAGCCAACCTGCGTAAACCGACAAATCGTCATTAAAATGGAGAAGAAAAAGACATAATTTAGAATTGTGCTCCTTAATGAATGATTTAATATATTAGAATCGAATATTTCTTGTTAAATGATTGGTTAATATTCGTTATTAAAAATACTCATATTTTGACACCTTATAGTTGTTTCTTATACTTACAAAATGTATGGAAATTCCAAGTACTAAAGAAAATGATTCAGTCTTTGATATATTGATATTGGGATTCTCACTAAAATTATACTCATTTCTAATACTAATTTAAATTACTAGGCGTTTATAAAAATCATACTTTTATATATGGGTAGGTGAAAAAGTTTTTTAGAATGATCTCAACAATATTAGAATATACTTATTATTGATAGGATAATCTTTATCGCGAATCTTATTTATAAAATAAATAAAACTGGATTTAAAAAAATTAGGGAGCTACTTGGGTAAATTGTATCTTACTAAAAATAAGATACATTTATTACTCAAATGAAATAAATGATTGCACGGATAAAAATAAATAAAATAAAATAAATATCATTTTTAAAAATTAAAATAGAAATTATTATTTGGGAATTATGTATGTCGTATGGGGATTCAGAATCAGTGGGGATTCGGTATCTCATGATTTTGAATCCTTTAACGAAGGCGATTTAAAAAAGATTTTTTAAATCCTATATAACCGGAAATATAAGCTAGCATTGTGTAGAGTCTTCACCCTAAAAATTTCAGCCACTTTCAGACATAGACATTTTAGTATTTTTTGTTAATTTATATGAAAATTAATATAAATTCAGAAGTAGTTTCTAAAGTTCATGGCAAAATTGGCTGAAATTTATGGGGTACGTAGTAAATACTCCACACATGCTAGAATAATGCATTTCCGGTTAAATAGGATTTTAAAATTATTTTTTTATAATGGCCATCAGTAAAGGATTTAAAATCAAGAGATTCCGAATCTCTATACAACGACATATACAATGAATAAATAACTTTCCATTAAACTACATGACTCTCACGTGACAAATAAATTAAGAAGTTAGTAAATATATGGTTAAAACTTTTGGTTTTGTCGTCCCCGTCATCTTTTAATATTTCGTAAGAGAATTCGTCGTATTTGATCGCCGAAGCAATCACGCTAAAAGCGCACACCTTTATCCCACAATGAGCCGCCACTGTGACTTCGGGTAAAGTGCTCATTCCTTTGTAAAACATTTTGTCATTTTAAATGTTAATTTTTCTTACTTTTTTTCCCGATCGGAAATATTTGAACAATTAAAAAAGTAATATTGGCAAAAAAAAAAAATTAAAATATATATATATATTTTTTTTAAATTACCAACTAAATCTACGCCTATCTTGAGAAGCATACGTCCCTCCGCCTTGGCTTGATAAGTAGGTCCAGTGTTCATACAATAAACCCCTTCTCTGTACGGGTAACCTAATTTTTTGCATACCTTCGCGATTTTCATGCGAAGATCGAAATCGTAAGCGTTGAATAAGTGCGGGAATCTGGTTCCCCATCTATATTATTTTTGGTAAATATCAGATATCCGCTGGCCCGGCCCTAAGCCCGGGTACACGGGTATGGCCGTATTTTATGTTTATAAAACCCGGGCCGGGCCGGATCGAATAAAATCCGGGCCGAGTGGTATCGTGTAAATGGTACCTTTGTCGGTCTAAGGTAAATATATTATCATCGCCATTCATTTAAACCGTAAATTCAAGACATTCTCTGCTACGAATTTTTTTGCACCAACAATATTTTTAATTTTTTTAAAATCAATCAGTTTATTATTATTATAAATGGCAGTCCTAATTTTAGCAAATTGCCTAATATTAAGAATAAAATATTCATTTTAAGATCTTCACTTAACAAGCTAAAAATAACCAAAACGACGTTACTAGATTTTATAAGTGAAGGTTGGAGCAAATTGATTAGAAATATTTATCGTAATTTTTAGAATACGATTAGGGCCCTGAGTTTCAATGTAATTTATTACAGAATCAACTAAAATAAAATAAATTAAATATTCTTTGCTAATATAGTTGAATCAATACAAATTTTAAAAAAATTTACCGTTCATCATTTTCTCCTACCAGAGGATTGTGCCCAGCCAGGCCGACTAAATTAACGTGATCTTTAATGACAATTACGTCGCCCAGATTGTAGGATGGATTGACTCCTCCACAACAATTCGTTACGAATAAATATTTGACTCCGAGTAATTTCATAATTCTTACCGGCATCGTGACCTTTTTGTTTTTAATGTATTTTTTTTATTACATTTTTAATAATTACTTATGTATTAAAGTAGGGGTAATTATAATACAGTACTGTTAAGAGAGAGAAAGAAAGAAAGAAAGAAAGAAAGAAAGAAGAAAGAAAGAAAGAAAGAAAAAAAAAAAGAAAGAAAGAAAGAAAGAAAGAAAGAAAGAAAGAAAGAAAGAAAGAAAGAAAAAAATCTTATTTTCGTGTTGCACCATTAATGAATATTAAACGAATTATTCATCTATTACAGTGTAAATATAATTATATATTATTCTCGATTAAAATACACAAAATGATTAAAAAAAAATTTTAATTTAGAGAAATCTTTATTATATGGTTCATAAGCAAATTGATATTGAATTTGGAATCCCCATCATAATTTTACAAATTAATGGGTTTATACAGTGTTGTGATGATTTAATGAATCATAATTGACGATTTATAATATAAACACATGCATATATAATTATAATCTTTACAAATATGTACAACAAAAGAAATAATATTATATAAAATATGCATGTGTTTAAATTAAATCGTCAATATGTTTAATTAAATCAACACTTGGGATATGGCATTCGCAATCTTTCAATTTTAAATCATTTAAATGAGAGACATTTTTAAAATATGATTTGAGTGGGAAAGTATTCCAACAATGTGAATTTCTAAACAATATTGCGCAGTAGTAATGTTGAAATGTCTTTTAAATATTTTATTCTCTTTTTTTTTAAAATATATTTTTCATACGTAATATATTTCTGGTCAAATCAGAATTTTTTTAAATTTAAAATCCTTTAAAGGATATTTTTTAAATATTAATAATATTTATTAATTAAAATTCAATAAAAATGAAATTTTATTTAATTTTACATTTATCCATTATTATATGTTTAGCCGAGTTTTATAATTAGTTTTCCATCTAATCATTTTAAATATTAAAGATCAAGTTTTCCTTTTTATATTGAAAAATTTTTTGGAAAATCTTGTAAAGTCATTATTAATTAATATTCATTTTATAGATAAATAATAAAAAAAATAGTTTTAGATATTATGAATTTAGAGATCGTAGATGAAGAAATCAAATTTCCATTTCCATCATACAAAAATATTTTAAACTTCTAAAAGATGTTGATCCAACTGATCAAACAAATTTAAGGACAAAATGTCTTTTGTGTTTAAATAAAACTATTTAATTTTCAAAAGTGAGCAGCTTTCAAAAAAGCATCTAAAAGTAAAAAATCTTTCTTTAAAATACAAATTGACTTGGAAGATTATTTTGGATTGCACGAATTGATCATCAGGAAGATCATATATTGGACAAATATTTTTTAAATTACCAAAATTACTATTTTTGATAAATTCCCTGAATTAAAAAATATATTTATAAAATACAATACGCTTCCCTCTAGTGCTCCCTGTGGAGTGCCTATTTAGTATTGCAAAACAGATCTTAGGGGGACAGGCGTGGATGTTTGTTAGATTCTAATTTAGAAAATTTATTACTTTTAAAAGCTAATAAAAGGTTATAAATATTTTGATAGGTCATTTAATATAAATAAAGCTTATTGATAAAAAAAAATTTTATTTCGTTTTGTCTACCTTCTAAAAAAATGAAAATCAAAGGATCGGTTATAGAGTGACACTCCATTACTTGGAGCGAGAGCGAGCTCCTATAAAAATGTAGTAGCGGGAGCGGGTAAGAGCTCCTTTTGAGATAGGAGCGGAAGCGGAAGCGGGAGCTAGCTACTTTTAAAAAGGAGCGTTAACAACTTTGGATATAATATATGTATATATAATTAAACAAAAAAAACCTATTTTATCACAAAAAAAACAATGAAAAAATATAAATTAATATAAAAAAATAAGAGAAAAAGGTTGGAAAAATTAAAAAAAAAAAACAGATGTTAAAAAAATATAATTTAGAATAATTAATATTTTTGCATTAATTATGGTGGGGGATAAATAGGGAAATAAACAATGATAGAAGAATACTAAGTAGTTTAAAGGTAGTGCCCATTAAGACTAAGTTAATGGTAAACAGACTTAGGTGGTTTGGGCACACAATGAGAAGGCCCATGAACTACATAGGAAATAAGGTTGAGAGTTTGGTAGTGATGGGCAAACGTAAAAGAGGAAGGCCAAAACTTCAATGGGGCCATAAAGTTAGAGCCAATATAAAGAAGTATAAATTAGATAAAAGAGATTGTATGAATAACATAAAGTGGAGAGAGATGTTGAAGGAGCTTACCACCAGAAAAGGTGAAAGCTAAAGGGAAAAAAAAATAAATACATTTAGGAAATAATAGAGCTATGTCCTACTGCAGAGATTTGCAAGGCCCGGCCCAGGTTTTATTTTTTTCTACACCGGCCAGACCCAGTTCGGTTTTTAGAAAAATATATTATATTTATTTATAATTTTCGTAGACAATAATGGCCATTTAAAATATTTGGTTTTAAAATATACGCCACGGCCCGGGTATTTTAAAACCAAATATTTAAACTCGACCCGGCCCGACCCGACCCGACCCGGGTATCTTAAAAAAATTAATATCCGACTCGGATTAAAGATCGCGCCTACAGGTTTCTGATATGTATATTATATATAAATAAATATGTTTTTTTTTCAAACAATAAACAAGAAAGAAAAAAGATCGAAAATACAATGGCACCCACCCAGATATTTAGGGAAAAACTTTTTTATATTATTATTTATTTATAAAAACATGAAAAAATATTAAGTGAGAAAATGTTAAATAAGATGAAAACTATTTATTTAAAAAAAAAAAAAATTAGCTATTATTTTTATGACACTAAAAATTTTATTAATTTTTATTTTAAGGATAGCTAGTCAAGCCGAATTTTTAAAACGGCTAACTCAATATTTTAACCAGAAAAATATTGCCTGAGCCCTAGAAATTTCGATGATATATGTCTAGAACTTTTGTTTCTTCTATCAGCAAAATCTTCAGGATTCCGTGATATTTTTTTGGATGAAATTTTGAGTTAGCCCGTTATAATTAATTTAATATCAAATTTCTAAATTTTGTTATATTCTCCTTTTTTTTTAAATTAAAATATATTGCAATGTATTTATGAATGTAAGTTGCTCAAAAGACATTTCTTCCTCAATTAGCAGCAGATTAAAGTACTTGATTAAACCATTTCTTTATTTCTTTGCATTTTAAAAACATTTTAGTTTTATTAAATAATATTTTATTAAAAAATATTAAAATATTTCCAATAAGGTAAAATATTATTCTGATACACAATTTTTAAATAATAAATTTTGTTTATTTTTTTAAAAATTTTTTATAGCCGGTTTAAAATATTCGGCCCGACTCGGATATTTAAAAAAAAATTTTTAAACGTTCGGGTAACTTATAAAACAAAATACCGTCCTAGTACTGATTATCTATAGCTCACAATGATTTTCCAAAATTCGAATATGTTTTTTTTGTATTAAAAAAAAATAAATATATTTCCATTTTTATTGATTTTGGCGTAAAAAATAGTTTTTGATTTTTTTGGCCCAAAAATGACGAAAAAAAATAAGTATAGATAAATGGGATCGATTTTGTGAACAAAAAATAAATTTCTAATTTTCTTAATATTTGTTTTTAAACATTTTATTAATTTAATTTTGTTAACGTAGCTAAAACGGCCCAATTTAAACCGAATTTATATTTTTACATGGCTAACTCATTCACATGTACAAAAATATTACTCAAACTTGAAGATTTTGTTTCACGGATAACACCGAATTAAGTGAAATTTCGAGGCTGGCGATATTATTTTTTGGCTAAAATATCAAGTTTGCCTAGTGTTGTTAAATTACCTAATTTTTGACCATCTCAATTGTGGCTTGGGTCACGATTTTAGCCTAAAAATATTGATTTAAGCATCTTAAGTTAACTATCAACTTGAAGATTTGATTGGAATATTTTCCGGTTAAAAATATGGCTACGCTGTTTTATAGTTGACTAAAGTTAGGTAGTTTAACAGCACTGAGTTTGCCGTTTTTAAAAATATCGGCAAGAATCGAGCCGTTTAATAACGCTAGAATTTTTTGGCGCAAAAAATAAATAACAGGAAAATGTATGAAAAAAATTCTAAGAAAGTAGAGAAATTTACGAAATGTTACAGCAAAGTTTTATTATAAGAAAATATTATTTCATTAGATGATTTAGTAGTGTTTGTTAAACTACCCAACTTTAGTTCAACTACAAAACAGCGTAGCCATGTTTTTTAACCGAAAATGTTCCAAAACAATATTCAAGTTGAGACTCAACTTTAGAGTCTTGATTCACTATTTTCAGGCTAAAAGCTTGACCCAAGCCACAATTGAGATGGTCAAAAATTAGGTAAATTAACAACACTTAATAATTAGGAGGTAAAAACAAAATATAAACTTACCACACTCATGGGATATCCTTCATAAAAATGACACCGTCCTACGAAACACACAACCTTATGAGTGCCTATCTTCCCCGCGACTATCTTATTTGAATGACCTACAACTAATATATTTAAAAAAAAAATTATATAATTTTTTTAAAGGTTTTTTTTTTTTAATTTGGCCACAAACCTTTGCTAAATTTGAGACCCTTGATACTCTGGTAAGGTATAGTTACGCTGTCCGTTATTCGCGAGGTGATGGTATCCAACCCCGTTCCAGTGATGATTCCGACAGTCGGGATGAAATCCGGCGGCAAGCATTTTTTGATTTGATCCGCTATGCCCGATATCTCCTTGTATAAGGCGTCTTTATCAACCGTGCACATACAGCTTTTTATAAATGTGATTACGTAAAAAATGAATAAAATTAAATTATTTTTACTTGGCAATATTAGTTCCATTTTCCATTAACCCAATTTTTAATTTTACGATCTTAAAAAAAATTAGTTATCTAAAATAGCTAGTAAATAGAGATGACACGACAAAAATTAATATTTTCCATTAATAAATAGAAATGACACGACAAAAATTAATATTACCCAATAATTTGAAAAGTGATCAGTTTTTTTTTAATATGAAAACTCATTCTTAAATTTAATAATAGATTTCTAGTCGCCTGGTGATACTTTTTAAATGGATATAGATACAGATACATCGTCAATAATATCTAGATACAGATATTTTAAAAAATCTATCTAGATACAGATACCACATTTTTATATCTAGATACAAGATCTAGATATATCTAGATCCTTTAACAACTCTGCTATTTACACGACTTAGGTCTCGGGTGCTAAAAAAACAAGCGTCAAAATATATTGAAACGCAATTAAGAACCCGTACGATTCAATATACGATAAACGGAATCACGTGATCGAGTCCGATCGACTAAATAAAATAAATATCCCTTGCTATTATGCTAGCAAAGCGATTATATTCGATCTAATATTTTATAAAAATACCTAAAAAAAAATTACTTTTATTAAAAAAATCAATAATTTATTGTTCGTATAACTTGAAAAAAGCATAAATTAAAATTAAGTGAGACACGGGGCAATTTAATTATTTATTTATTTTACAAATTTTTTTTGGGGGGGTTTTTTTTTTAAAATTATTTGATTTTTTTTTTAAATAAGAAAATATAATAATATTTCAGGGTTAAAAAAAAAAATTATTTTGTTATTTTAATAACAAGTATCATATATCTGAAATATGATATAGTTTAATTATAAATAAATATTTTTTAAAAAAAAAGGAAATAAAATATATTATATTATTGTAAATATATCAGACCTGCAGGAGTTACCATTTGTACGTGCCGGCCCGGCCCATATGGACTCGTTTTTTTAACTCCCGTCTTTATGGGTTTTGTATTTTTTTCTTAAAGATAAGTAACTTCTCACGTAATAATTTAAAGTAGTTTTGTAAAACGGTTAGAAAGAAAGAAAGAAAGAAAGAAAGAAAGAAAGAAAGAAAGAAAGAAAGAAAGAAAGAAAGAAAGAAAGTGAGAAAGTGAAAGAAAGAAAAAAAAATGGGAAATGTGCTCATAGATATGATGGATTGAACATCTATTGAAGAAATTTCTCGCATAGCCAAAATATTGGAGTTAGCCGTATTTAAAAATTCGGATCGAGCAATGATTAATTTTAGGATTTATAAATTAATTCTTAGAATTACAAAAATATTAAAATTTCTAGTCGGTTGGCGCAACAGCCAGGAATTTTTCTACAGGGGAGGGGAGTATTAAAAATTTATTAAAACCGATCATAATGAAAACTTAATCTTGAAAAATTATATAGGTTTGACACGAAAAAATTTTTTAATCGACTCAAACTATCCTACAATCCATCGTAATTTTGAAAAATTTCCACAATCTACCAAAATATCTCTTCTAAATATTCAAAAAAAAATTCATTTTTCAAAAAATCGTGCTTCTGAAAATACTTTATTAAATTAAATATAAAATTTGTTATTTGATTTTGTATTGAAAATCAAAGGCATGATGAGGCATTAATTATTTTAAAAAAAAAAATTAAGAATAAGTTCCCAACAGAGGATCTGATAAAGTCCTTAAAATTATAAATTAAATATAATGTAGAAGAGAACAGAAGAATCCATGAATTTACATGTAAAATAGAGAATAACTTACAGTATAAATTGTAGTGATCTTCCTCGGGCCCAATTGTACAAGGCAGGCTCGACCTATTTAAATATAGAAATTAATTTTTATAATTACTCAAAATAAAGAAGGAGTTTCCACAAATAATAAAAAATTCAACATTAAAAATTGATAAATTTATAGATATATTTCAAAAAAATTTCTAATGCCCGACCCGACCGAGCCTGAATTTTCTTACGTTTGGAAAATCACCAAAATCCGATTTATGTTGACCTGGCGCAACCTTGCGTAAAGCTCTGAAAGTCCGCCGAAATCCCGGTCGGTCTAGCTTCACCCGAAGGTTAAATTCGGGCCCAGGTCCGGGCTTTAAGTTCAAAATAAAATTCAGGGAGCCGGGTTTTTCTTTTATTATAAATTTAAAATGAATAAATTAACAATTCACTGGGATAAATAATTCGGGAAAGACTGGTAAAAAAAAATAAATATGTGATTAGGGCCAATAAAATATATAAAATATTGTTAGAAGCTAGTATATATAAAATAAAATTTGAGGGTTTATATTTCAAAAAATTATCGATTATTTAGGACTACCCTGTAAAAATTCTCATTTTCCTCTTGCCAATTATTTTCATTTTCCTCGTTCATCGTTTTATAGCGTAGGTTATTATATTACACTTCAATTTAATTAATAATTGATTAATCTATTGTATTTTTTTTTTAAAATTATTATTGTATCTTTTATCATTCGTCGTTATAATTGCATATCATCTCTATAACAAAATTTTTTTTAATTATCATTATCATTTTCATATTTATCTTACGCTTTATCGTTATAACAGCTTTGCCTTCTTAGTGATATATTTATTATTTTTAAGATTCGGAGCGGAAAATTTTATGCGCGACAATTTGACGCGGCGTCAATTCAGGCGACGACGCATTTTAGCAGCGTCAATTGAGCGTATATCTAATATATTCGCAATTTATAATAAATTTAATTAGTATAAAACCAAAGGATCGTTAAATATAAATTTTGAAGGAAGGTTGGTTCTTTTTATCAATTAATTTTTTATTATTTTTTTTTTTTTACAACTAACTAATTTTATTTACTAATTGCGTAATATCAATAAATAAAATTTTTTTAATAATATCAAAAAATAAATTGATTTAGTGGACCAATTTACTGTATTATAAGGTATGTTGATAGGCGTAAATGCCTTCACTCATTTTCATTTCTATCAAAAATCTATAAGAGGATGTTTTTTAGTTCATATGACCCAGAGCGATTTTGAAGGACACATACAAAGCGATATCGAGTTATTGTCGCATTATTTAGATAGAGATTAGAGGAAATCAATGGTCGATAAAAATTAGGCAAATGTTTTCTCTCGCACCAGGTGGATGACGTAGCGGATGTCTTTTAATGGTTAGTTAAAGTTCCATGATTAGTGTTTCTAAGCGCGCACATTAATGGAGAAGAGAAAGAAAAAAAGAAAGAAAGAAAGAAAGAAAGAAAAAAAGAAAGAAAGAAAAAAAGAAAGATTTTATTTTTTTTTATAAACTCGGTTTATTTTTTCTGGTTCACATAACTGATTTTAGGGAATTAATAAGTATTGAGTAAGCAAACTAAATGTTAAAGGGAAAAGTAGAAGCCCGGCCCATAGGGACTCGTTTTTTTAACTCCCGTCTTTATGGGTTATATATTTTTTCTTAAAGATAAGTAACTTCTCACGTAATAATTTAAAGTAGTTTTGTAAAACGGTTAGAAAGAAAGAAAGAAAGAAAGAAAGAAAGAAAGAAAGAAAGAAAGAAAGAAAGAAAGAAAGAAAGAAAGAAAGAAAGAAAGAAAGAAAGAAAGAAAGAAGAGAGAAGAAAGAAAGAAAGAAAGAAAGAAAGAAAGAAAGAAAGAAAGATTTCATTTTATTTATAAGCTCGGTTTATTTCTGGTTCACATAACTGATTTTAGGGAGTTAATAAGTATTAAGTAAGTATTAAGTAAGCAAACAAATGTTAAGTAGAAGCCCGGTACCCGCCGCGAATGGGTTCCGAGCTGAGCCGGACATGCGAGTTGCCACGGGTTTAACTAGGTTTTTTTTTAGAAAACAAGGAACCAATATTTTTTGACGGACAAATAATTAATATTTTTTTATTAGGAGTGGTGGAGGAGGTTAGCATTTATTTGAGTGGACCTGGCTTAGATAATTAAGTCCGATGCAGATCACAGCTAAATATTATCGCAAACCAGATATTTAGTTCTTCCATATTTTTGATTCTGGTATGATATCAAATTTTGAAATTTTCTTTATACTGTCTACAAACCGAAATAACTTTCTCTCTTTCTTTATTTCTTTCTTTCTTTTCTTTCTTTCTTTCTTTCTTTCTTTCTTTCTTTCTTTCTTTCTTTCTTTCTTTCTTTCTTTCTTTCTTTCTTTCTTTCTTTCTTTCTTTTCTTTCTTTCTTTCTTTCTTTCTTTCTTTCTTTCTTTCTTTCTTTCTTTCTTTCTTTCTTTCTTTCTTTCTTTCTTTCTTTCTTTCTTTCTTTCTTTCTTTCTTTCTTTCTTTCTTTCTCTCTCTCTCTCTCTATCTTTTCTTTCATTCTTACTATCTGCTGTACTTAAAACCTTTATAGGTCCCAATAAAAACACATTTGACAATCGACTTTAGAAATAGTGCTTCCAATAGTTTGGCCAATTTTAACGGAGATGATAGACAGAACAGATGTGACACAATTTTTAATAATCGAAATAAAAATAAGAACGGAAATTATAAAAAAATTACCCAATCAGACTTTTTTGTGAATAGGAACGTACGGAAAGACCGAGTAAACGGTTTGCGTAACGCTCCCTTTGGATAAATTCTGGCTATGCCATCGCATTATATATCCTTTTATCAGATGCCCCAGTGTTCGGACACTTGTTAGCCTAGGGCAGATTTTAAATTAATTCCATGGAAGATGACGACTTAAAAAAAGTTAAAATGGTTTGGGCTGCGGCGCACCGCTAAAAAGAAAGTCATAAACATCTGTTTAATTTAACGTTTTATTAGTCAATCACTTTCTAATGATACCTAAAACATAGATATTGGCCAAAGGTAAAATCATATATTTTAAATTTGATATACATAGGCGTAGCCAAGGGAGGGAGGGACATGTGAAATTCCCCTCTTCAGAAATACGTCACTTTTTTTTGTGAATATCATTCTGAAGCTAATAAAAATTTCATCTTCTACGACCCTTGTCCCCCCCCCACCCCAAAAAAAATCTATTCAGAATCATCATTTATTACAGATTTTAT